AAACACCATATGGAACCCAACACTGGGTATTGTTTACAGCCTTGATTCTTGTGTTTATGTCCAATGGGCTTCCTACATTTAAGAACAGTTCAGCTTTCCAACCATCCAACTTTTGATTCACAGAGGGAACTAAAGCTACAGTGGGCTCCCTGACTCACTTATGGTAAAATTTATATGGGGATTTAAAATGAAATTAGTGAATCTTCCTATTTTAAAGCACAATATTATGAATTCTTACCCTGCTTATTTCCAAATACATGATCTCTGGATCCCTTATGAGTTTGGTACTAAGAATAGTAACTGGCTCTTTGCCTATCTGTGCTGCCATTACCAGTGGCCCAGAGTATTGGCAGGGGTCCTAGACATATTGTACACAGACATCAATTGTAAAATCTTAAAGGGGGGGAAGGAAAGCCCAGAATTTGATTCATAAAATTGTACAAAAGTACTCCCTCTAAAAAATTAAGCGGTAATCTTATTTTGCCTTAGTATATTCGGTATCCAGTATAAAATGTGTGCTGGCAAAGATTTCTGTGGAGGATAAATAGAATGTGTGTCTTTTTATTGCAGCTCCAGCCTCACCTTTCATTGAGACCATATGTCCAAGTGTGCCATATTATATTTATAACCATCTAACTGCACCTGTCAGGGATGGAAGCCTCCCACATCAAATTATACTTATACTTCTGCATTCTAACTTACAGAACTGCCACCCCTGTGATGCTTGAAAGTCAACTATTTAAAAACTTAATGCCAAGGGAAAGTAAGGGCCAGGATGGGGACTGTCAGGGTACAGAGAGGGGAACACTGGGTTCTGGGAGTGAAAGGCTATCTCAAAACTGCTAACACAGGTGCAAGCTCTTCCCTTTAAGGGGCTTTGTGCACTCTGTGTTTTCTTGTGGTCTGTTGGCTGGCTTCTTCCTTTTTCATACCATCTTACCTGTTGCTTCCCAAGAAAGTGTTTCTTTCTGAAACCTCACAGGTGTCAAATACCATGCTATTCTCTCATCTCATCCCAATGGCAAACCCACAGCCATTTTGAGTTTCTCAAAAGGATCTAAATGTTTTGTTTGCATTTGCCAACTTGTTATTGACCTAAACCTCCAGAAATGTTCAAACACCAAAGCACTAGAATGGCTATGCTGGACATTGCCATTGCAGTTGGTAGGCAGTGATTCCCAAATAGCTGTTGTCCTCCCTTTTTCTCAACACACAGTCCACCGGTGACTTTCACAGGATCTCTTTGAGAAGAGTAAAATGGCAAACACTTGCGTGTGGGCTCAAGAGGAAAGTGATGGGAAGAACGGAGATAAGAACCAGGTTCCTTGAAAGGGTTTTTTTCTTTAAAAGGAACCACGCATTAAGAGTGTAGCTTGGGCAGAAGGAAAAAACAAATAGAAATTTCTTTCTCGACTTTGGAGTTACGACAGCAAACTTGTATGCTGAGGGGAATTGTCTTAGTTAGTGTTGCTATCTCTGTGCTGAAACACCATGACCAGATAACAAGTTGGGGAGGAAAGAGTTTATTTGGCTTCGCTTCCACCCTGTAGCCCAAGGAAGCCAAGACAGGAACTCAAACTGAGAAGAAAACTGGAGGCAGGAGCTAATGCAGAGGCTATGGAGGAATGTTGTTTACTGGCTTGCTCAGCATGTTCTCTTATAGGACTCAGGATCACCACCCCAGGGATGGCACCACACACAATAGGCTAGGCCCTCTCACAAGCATCATTAATTTTAAAAATGCCCTGCAGCTGGGTCTCATGGAAGCATTTTCTCAACCGAGGTTCCCTCCTTTCAAATGACTCTCACTTGTGTTACGTTGACATAAAACTAGCCAGAACAGGAATGATCACAGGGAGTGCTAAACCTTGACAATTCAGTAGGGACACTGTAGCTGCCACAGTGATGGATATCTACCCCACAGCAGGATTGAGACCTTCGAGGCTGATCTCAGGATGGCAGAATGTTGATCCATACAATAGGAAGGAAGGTAGAGGTAGATGGTAGATGTTGAGGAGAGCTTCCGGTGGAAGTTTCGTTATGCTTTGTTTGTATGAACGGGCCAAATGAGAGTGGATATACAGGCTGTTGGTCTGAAAAGAGAAGAAAGGGTATAAAATTGTTGCCTAGGAAAATGGAAGGATGAATGGATTCAGATGTTGCAATGCATGGAGGGTCATGCCTCGAATGCACAGTCACCAGTTTAACTGAGACCAGGACAAAAAGGGACGGTGTTGTGACCTTGAACATACTATGATAAGCCAGTTTCTATCTGTATCTTTCTGCTTTACAAATGTATTGTGTGGATTCAGAACACCATTGTTATGAAACTCAGCTTTGAATTACTTAGCATTTTCCTGTGGCTAAATGGTGTTCAGCTTTGCCTAAGACAACTCCAGTGTCTCCTGAGACGGTGTCTGGCTTCTGCCACTGACTTATTCTAATAGCTAATCTAAGCACATGACTAAACCTCTTTCTGCTTTGACTCTTCAGTCTGTAGCATGGTGGTGATATCTAAGGTGTAACAGATAAATAAGGTGCTGCTTGATAAATACAGAAGGTTCATAAGATAGCATTCAGCCCTCTCTGCTAAGCACTGCAAAGTCAGGTCAGAGCCTTCAAGTAAACCCTAAATCCTGGTGATGGATGAGCCACTCCAGTAGGTTTTGAAAAGAGGAGGAAGGGTAAATGTTTGGCTAGTTTTATGTCAACTTGACACAGGTTAGAATCATCTGAAAAGAGGGAACCTCAATTGAGAAAAGGCCTCTGTAAGATTCAGCTGTAGGGCATTTTCTTGATTAGTGACGGATAGGGAAGGGCTCAGCCCATGGTGGGTAATGCCATCCCTGTGCCCCAGGGTTCTATAAGAAAGCAGGCTAAGCCAGCCAATGCAATGCCACCCTATAGTCTCTGCAGCAGCTCCTTCCTCCAGTTTCCAGCCCAGTTGGACTTCCTGTCCTGCTTCCTTCAGTGGTGAACAGTGATGTGGAAGTGTAAGCAAGTAAACCCTCTCCTCCCCAAGTTGCTTTGGTCATGGCGTTTCATCAGAGCAATAGTAACCCTTACTAGGACTGAAAGAATCACCCTATAGTAGCCACCCACAGCCACTTTTTGAGATTTATTTTTAGAATGTGAGACTCAGGGGGGATTGAATTATCCAAATAAAGATCAGATTTCATATCACGTCTACCTAAAATCCCATGTTATTTTATATTCTTACTTTTCCACATACAGAATTGACCTTGATCATGTATAGCTATGGAAGCTGTGGAACTTTATGTATTACTTTCTTATATTTCAGGCCCATAATCTTGCCGGCGTAATCTCAGTAATCCAAGATTTTAACTAGGCTTGCCCAGTAGCAAAATACTTTGTGTGTTGGAAGTCTCATGATGGAGTATCTTACAAGACAGCAAATGACCAGGGATGATAGAAAGATTTGGGAATGGGCAGTACGTGGCTGAAAATCAGCACTTAGCTACAAATGTACTTTGTACACACCTTTTGGGAAAAGATGGTGGATGCAAGATAAAATTAATTTATGTGGCCATGGGAACTGCAGAACCACCAGGCCTGTGTGTTCTTTGCTGCAGGCACAGAGTGTGTGCTATGAGCTGCAACACATAAACCCCTCTAAGAAAAAAAAAAATCACTCCTCTGCTAGATTTTGATTTTTGAGTAACAGTTGCCCACCTGATAGAGAAAGTGATAAGAAAAGTGTATTTATTTTCTTCCAACAGCTAAAAGCTGATCATACTTCTAAAATTTGTAGAGATTGTCCAAGAAACTGTGTAAAATACTCATCCATCACTGGGAGCTCCTGGTCAGGAAATGACAGTGCAGTAAATATCTTCAGCAGCCACCTTTTAATGTACAAGCTGTTTTCGGTTGGAATTTTCAGCGCACACATAAAACACACTGTCATGAGTGACTGCTTGTGCTCCAAAGTCATTACTATTGGGATAATGGAACATCTCTCAGCGAATAACCAAAAAACTTTAAATGTCATGTCAAGTTTGTTGGAGCCATTTTCAAACCCTGTTCAAGGTTACATGAATATTGAGACTGTCTGCTTTTTAAAAGTTGAGGATCTATGAGAGAGTCACACAGAATGTTATACAACATGAGAGTCAATTAATTAGAAGAAATTTCCGGTCTCTCCAAGAAAATTAATCAGCCAGCACCATTGAATCACTGCCTATTATGGAGTCAAGATTGCAACTACTTGCCAGTTTGGATGTGTGTGTGTGTGCATGGACATATAAGTAGATGCAGATATACTACTCAATTTAGTGTAGCAAAATTATGTAATAATGGTCTGCTAGGAATTACAATTTGCCTAACAACTTCACTATTTCCTCTAAGGATTTTTTTTTAACTTTTCAAATTAGGAGATTCTCCCTTGCTTTTGTTCAAAAAGAAAATCTATGTCTAATTCTTCTGTTGGGTCAAACCTATGCAGATTGTTTAATCACCGGTGTGTTTAGTGAACACTTGGTTTGCCCAGGGCTACTATAAATACTGAAACTACACAGTGTGTGAAATAGCATTCCTGCTCTGTGGAGCATACCTTCCAGTGAAAAGACACCCAGTGGATGAGTAAACAGACCTATGGCACATATGACTACCATGGTGCTAGACAGGAACAGATGAGGGGAAGGAACGGGATGATCAAGATAAGGCCCGTCTGAAATGGTTAAGGAAGGCCTCTCCATTTCATCCGTGTGTGACCCAAATCCTGGATGAAGCATAGGACAAAACTCTGACAATGTCCTGTTCACAGGTGTTTCAGCATAAACGAAGAAAATAAGCAGTTGTCTTCTATAATTTAATTGATTCTTAACCTCTACATGTGTACTTTATATCTGCCTTTTACTGGCTATTTTTAGTCTCTCCAAGAGGACTTATTTACTGAGAATAATTAAACCTATGTTTTATAACATACCTAGACCTTGGCTTTCACATTGACAAGTTTCATGTTTCTTTCCTCCTTACCGCAGAAAACCAGAAAGCACAGTTGACAGAAGGGTCACGTCCACACCACAGTATCAATGGCAACTCCACCAGGACTCCAGTCGCCAAGGAGCTTAATTATAATCTAGACACTCATAAGTCTACAGGGAGGATCAAGGCAGTCGAGAAGGAAGCCTGTAATGCAGAAAGCAACAGAAAAAAGGAAATGGAACTTCTTGGCTCTGTTTCGAAAAGCGAATCAGTTCCTGAAGTTGAAACCCTGCTGGCAAGATTACGAGCTTTATAAATTAAACTGGTTAAAAAAAAAAAAATGATTAAGCCAAGCACAAAGCCATGCTTTCAGCTATAACACTTGAAAAGTTGCTTTTATGCAAGTGACTTTATATAGTTTTAAATTATGATATATATTAGAAAAATAAAGCTAAATACATGATTGCAATGCTTTTCCTATGTACTTGAAGTTCTGGCTTATTCAAGATTGTAATGGGCTTTAATGCTTTTTTGTCTCCTGGTGTTCATCTGTTCTGTATTTGCTGGTTAAATTAGATATGTTGCCTTAGAGAACAAGGAGGCCACCATGTGTTCAACCATGTATCTTTAAGACAGTGATATCCTTCTAAGTGTAATGTTTACCACTTCAACCTTAATGAAAGATCAATAAGGTGAAGACGTGGTATCTGTCCATATATATTTCATATTTGCTATCTGTATAGGCCCAAATGTTTTCAGTATAGCATCAAAAACATATAACTGTGTATCAGACCTGTAATAACCAGTACACTCACTATCATCAGTGTTGGCTCATGTTAACTCCAAGGCATGTTTCCAAAAAGGATACAGTAGAAATGTATGCACTTTCTTTGCAACATTTTGCAAAGTAGGAATATAACGTTGAAATGTACACAGTATCACAGTACTGGCCCAAACTCTGGGTTTTAGCTAAGAGAATACTTTTACCTTCAATAATTATGGCTCTGGAAGAAAATTACCATTCTGAAATTTCCCAAGAAATACATTTTTATTTTTAAACAAACTTAGGATTTCAATTTAAGTTGACAATCAGTAATTGTCGCAACAATCTGAGTGTTTCAAGGAAAGTTTCTTTATGCAAATGTTTCAATTGTACCTCATTTGGTATTGTTAAGTCCTTATCAAAGAAAATAAACTTGCTGCTTGCACTAAACTGTCTTTCTTCTCTTGCTCATATTCTATTGGTGCAGTGGAGGCAGACTCCGGTCTAACGTCTCGTGTGCTTTATTATTTGTAATGCGTAAGAACACATTAACTTTCAGGTGAAAGGCAGCTATATGGAATTAGTCTGGTGTGGTCTATTGCATTTGATGTCCTTATTTAAGTTGCCACCTCCTTTCAGCTCCAAGTTAATACAATTAATTAGTAATATGAGCCAAGCTCTGTTCATAGATATCAAAGAAGCCTTATCCATAGCATGTGGGAAATAATTTGGCTCCATAGTACCACAGGGAGCATTCTACCCTCTGCTTGCAATTCCTGTTTTCCTGAAAGCAAATCCCAATAATGGGAAAGGGTATGTAAGCATATTTTTAAAGCACATAAGGAATGGCGGCAAAGCAGAAGTATTTTGATGAGGGAAAATAGTCAAATGAAGGAACTGTATATCTTTGGATTTGATTTTGCCAAGACTTGAACTTTTCCCAACACACAAGAACAGGTAAGCACTGGACTTGCAGCCACAAGGGAGAAGCTGACAAGTAAAAGGAAATGAGGGAGACAAACCTCCCAAGGGCAGAAGAAGGTGGCAATGGAGCAGGCTAGTCCTACTAAATGGCTGTTAGAGCTACAAACGGCCTTGAAACAGGAAGACCAGGGTCACAGGACAGAGCAGCAGCAGTGGCTGACCCTTACAGCTGAACCTAACACAAACACACACACACACACTCTTCCTCCCATCCCTCTCTCCCTTCATATGCTACTTGTTTTTTTTTTTTTTTCAAGAGATTATTTTTTATTAGTCAAAATTAGAAACAAGCCTGCTTCACATGTCAATCCCTTCTCTCTCTCCCACCCAACCCCCCACCAGCCCCCCACTTCATCCCCTCTCTGCTCCCCAGGGAGGGTAAGGCCCTTCATGGGGGTTCCCCAAAGTCTGTCATATCATCCTGGGCAGGGCCTAGGCCCTCCCCTATGTGTCCAGGCTGAGAGGGCATCCCTCCACGTGTGATGGGCTCCCAAATTCCCTTCTTACACCAGGGATAAATACTGATCCGCTACCAGGGCCCCCATAGAGTGCCAAGGCCTCCTCATTGACATCTACTGATCCAGGGATCTGGATCAGTCCTGTACTGGCCTCCCAGACATCAGTCGGGGGTCCATGAGCTCCCCCTTGTTCAGGTCAGCTGTTTCTGTGGATTTCACCAGCCTGGTCCCAACCTCTTTGCTCTTCACTCCTCCCTCTCTGCAACTGGGTTCCAGAGTTGAGTTCAATGTATAGCTGTGGGTGTCTGCCTCTGCTTCCATCATCCTCTGGATGAGGGTTCTAAGATGGCATATAAGGCAGTCATCAGTCTCATTATAGGGGAGGGGCATTTAGAGTAGCCTCTCTACCATTGCCTAGACTATCAGTTGGTGTCCTCCTTGTACATCTTTGGAAATCTCCCTAGTGCCAGATCTCTCCTCTGACCTATAATGGCTTCCTCTGTTATGATATCTCTCATTGTGCTCTCCTCTATTCTTGCTCCAACTCAACCTTCCTGCTCCTCCATTTCCTCCTCTCCCCTCCTCTTCTCCCTCCTCATCCTCCCAGCTCCCTCGCCCCTACCCTCATGCTCCCAATTAGCTCAGGAGATCCTGCCCCTTCCCCTTCTCTGGGGTCCATGCATTTTTCTCTTAGAGTCCTTCTGGCTTCCCAGTTCCTTTGTTGAAGAGGATTGTAGGCTGGTAATTCTTTGCTCTTAACTAAGGGTTGTGGAATGATTAGGGTTTTCAAACCCATAATACTCCTTTAGCCAAACTGTTCATGAAAACTCTAGCAGTAGCTTTTAAGGACAGATACTGTGGTTCTATTTCTAGGCATAATCTGTTCACTTGAATTAGCAGTACAAATAGTTAATATTTGATACCAACTTATAAAGGATTCCCCGGATATCAGGTAAAATATAACTTCTGAGTAAGTCTAAGAGAGTTCTTCTGGAAAAGGTTAGCCTTGATATCAACTAAATGAAAGAGTTCTCTTCCCAGTGTAAAGGACTGGTACTGGTGATGTTCTGTGTGCTTTCTAAAAACAAGAAGAAAGAGCTTAGAATGTTTTCAACATGAATGACAAATGTTTCCAGAGATAATCGATACCATATTTCCAATTGCATTCATATACTAAGATGGCACATGATAAACATGTAGGACTGTTCTGTCAATTTATGTAAGAAAATGGACACTTCCATACTTTAACATAACTAAAAAAAGTCAAATTTTCCTATCATGTTGCTCTAAAATCCTTTCGGTTACAAGATACATCTACTCAAAAGCAGATTTCAAAGTGACTTTGAAAACTGATTTTCTTGGTGAGCAACTTGTTTTTATTTTGAACCGTGGATCTGAGTTTACTAATCAACTAAATGATTTGGGTTAGTGTACACAGCTGTTACATGCAGTATCTCAGGGTCCCCATATGCATAATCACATTGTGTCACTTCTGGAACATCACAAGTCTTAATATGTGAGCTCCTAACTCATCAGATCCAAAAGAAGTGCTATTCACTTTCTTTTCATATTAATTATTTAAAGTTTTATGGTCCAGAAATTGTAGCTGGCAGTTACCCAGTATTCATTTTTGTCTGGTGAATTGTTAAATGGTAGCTATTACATGTTCTTGCCAGGCAGCAGTGTTCTTAAAATACATCCTAGGGCCAAATTGTTCAAGCATTTTGTTCTAAGAGCCACTGTTCAGCAAAACAGGTGGTGTTGCCAAAGAACCACAGAGCTTGGAGGGCCCCGCAGGAGTAAATCCACCTTTCTCCACAAATTGAAAATGATAGAGCCTTATCCCCCAAAAAGCTTGTTATTCCTAAACAGACCTTGGACCTTTGTAGTATGTGTGAGGAGACTGTTAAGAATTGAAGAGCTGAGGTGGAGGGAAAAGTCACAATGTCTGTAACTATAACCTTGGTGCCTCTTTTTCTCTATTCAGCTGATTTTATTTTAGTGACAATTTTTACTTTATTAGCCTTCCTCTGGGCATCTTCAAGAAGCAAGAATGTAACTCTTCATTTCTTTCAAGAAACATAAAAGTGGTAGACACCCCAAGCAATGAACAAGGTGTATTGAAGACTGAGATGACTCAGCAGGTAAAGGGGATTGCCACCAAGCCTACCAACCTGGGGTTCTATCCCCAGAACCCACATTGTGGACATGGAGTTCCCTCTGGCTTCCCCATGCACACCATGGCATACGCTCCCTCACCCACTGTCTTAGTGTTCTATTGCTGTGATGAGACCTGATGACCATGGCAACTCTTATACAAGGAAGCATTTAATTGAGACTTGCTTACAGTTTCAGAGGTCTAGTCCTTTATCAGCATGGCAATGTGAAGACAGACATGGTGCTGGAGATGTAGCTACGGGTTCTACATCTGGATCCGAAGACAGCAAGAAGAGAAAGCCACTAGCCTGGCTTGGGTTTTCGAAATCTCAAAGCCCACCCCGAGTGACATACTTCCTCCAAGAAGGCCACACTTCCTATCCTTTCAGAGGGTACCACTCCCTAGTGAGCAAGCATTTAAATGTATGACCCTGTGGAGGCCATTCTTATTCACGCCAACATCCACCATCCACACAAATATAATATTTAAAGAGTATCTTACAAAGCCCCAGATATTGGCTCTTTCAATTAATATTACCAACATTCTCCATATTCCCATTGATCTATATTAATATAGATGTCTCATTTGAAAGGCCTTTCTGGATGAAGATTGTAAAGCAAATCGGATTAGCTCCTCAGGGCAGGTTATCCCACGTCATCTCCACCAGGCTTTGGAAGTATTTTGGTAAGTATTATGTTACTTAGATTTTTTTTTTTGACAGTACTTAATGGATGAGGGTTTGCACTTTTCTCTTGGCATTTTTATTCCATGTTATATTTGAACCTATTCCTGAAAACTTCTCTCCTCATTTTCTAGGTATGAGTTACTAAAATGAGTATTAAAGATGAATCTCCAGTGAGAATCTATTTGATCTTAATACAATACACATAGGTCTGAATATTATTCAAATATGAACCCCAAGTGCTAGAAAGCTATATGAAAATAATTAGCTTAAACAGATGAAAACAAGTATTCTGGTAAATAATTTCTTGAGAGCAGGTCTACTTTTTCAAATACGTGTACTTCAGTTAATTTCTCATCAAAGTGTCCATATGCTTTCTCACAGATATGGCTGAATGATGAAGTAAATTTATCTTTTCATAATAAACAGAAGGTTGACAAAAAGTAGTTAATAAGTTACATGTCTTACTCCAATTAGCATTCGTAAAGGAAATAGGAATGTTTTATACATGTTTAAGTATATAGAAATATCTATTTCCACGTAACTTTTTCCTTTCCAGCCTCAAGATGTTTGCCAACCCTCCTCTTACCAAAATGTGGCAGCAAAGACACTTCATAACTTAAGTACCCGAGCAGGTAAGGAAGCTTCATTTTTAAGCTGAAGACTTCTTTCCTTCCTTCCATGTAGGCACAAATGCAGGAATCTTTCAGTGTTAAACCGTCTAGTACCTAATAAAAGCAAACACATGCCTCTCCAGCCTAAAGAAAATGGCATCCTCTTTGAAGGGTCTCATCTTGAATCCATTCCTTTCCTCTAATGACCTCACGAGAGCCACTCTGATGATTCTGAGAGACATGGCTGACATCCCACACCTGTGGCCTAGCCAGAGCATAAGAGTCCAATTTGACTGTGATAATAAATAAAATCTTGTCATACTATTACAGAATGCTTGGCAAGGACAAGAATTAAGGCACCTCTATAACTCCCAAAGGAATCTGGTGATATTTCTGATGCGATCTCGCACATCATTCTGTCCTGCCTTACCTTGCTTGTATCTCCTTCCTGAATTATAGCTTGTGTCTGCTACCCTCTCCTCCTTCCACGGCCTTTCCCAAGATGAAGTATTGCTGACTTGAAGAAAACAAACCTTCTTTTATTCTTTGAGAAA